CTGGAATCCTTGTGCTCTTCCAAGAGACAAGGATTGTGCCCAGTCACGGTACAAGCAGGAGGGCATGGGAGCAAGGCACAATCTACACTGGAGAAGAACATGGAGGCCAGGTATACTCTACATAGCAAGGTGACAGAGTAATACAAGGACCATACCCTGGTCTATGAAATGCTTTGGGACCCTTTGGGATGAGAGACACTGAATGAAAAGCTAGTCATTATCAATCTGTGTTCAAGAATAGGTGTGCCAGCTGGCAAAAACTTTCAAATTGGCTCTTTAAAGAACATGTGGCATTTCTTTATTTTTAAACAAACATCTCTTTGTGAGTTGTTTGTTGGGTTTTTTTGGTCCCATCACTTCAAAAGTTGATTTAGAAAATAAGTGCTGTATTTCCTCCAGCTGTTAGGAAGGTATATGTCACATCTGCTCACTATCACTCCTTTAAATTAAGATGGGAAAAACCCCACCTTTTTGCCAAGTAGGTGACTTTTTACTATCAGCATAGTCTGGCTCAGGATTAATTTTCTCCCAGCAGTCAAAGTCATGATAAGAATTGCAGAGGCAACCAGAGACATGAGACTTCCTCCAGCAGTTGCCATTCTTGGCTCTAGAGTTTCTGTTGCTAAAGATAAAAGAAACCTAAAAGAATCTCTTGAAAATCTCACCACATGTGATGATAATTTCCTTTAGTAATAATGTAACTGGTTTGTTGCCCAGTGGCAAAAGAAGCTATATGAAGTCATCTCTGAAATGCTTCATTCCTGGTGTTACTGGTAAGCCAGTAATGAGGAAGACGCATCTTTCCATATCAGAAAGAGATTCTGGAAAACACAAAAGACTTGATCCTCTCCCACTGAAGTCAATGAGAGCTCTAATTCTGACTTCAGTGGGGACAGACGGTTAATATAAAAGGGGAATATACAGGCTAGGGACAGACATTACACACAAACTGGTTTAAGTGGTTAGAAACTGGTTTAAACCTGTAACAGAACAGATGTTCAGTGCACATAAACCAGTTTGAAAATGGCTGAAACTGGTTTGAGATAAACCTAGTTGAATGCAGTGTCGCAGAGCACTAAGGTGCCCTGCTCCTAGAGAAGGGAAACTGCCAGGGAAAGAGGGGCAGGGCCTGGCCCTCATAAAGCCCAGGGGCTGAGACCAGGCTAGCAGTTTCTTGCCAGCAGCCAGAGAGGCAGGAGCTTCCAAAGCAAAGATGCGAGATGCAGCCTGACTGCAGGCACAGCTTCAGCTGAGTAAAGGGTGGCAGCTCTAAGAGGTCCGAGCAACGTTGTTATAGCCAGGCGGCTTATGTTTAAGTTGTAGCCAAGAGGCTTGAGTTTGTGTTTTGCTTTGTTGTTACACTGGTGGTTTGGGTGAGGCTGTTAGGGGTTGGAGGAGGCCTCATAGGGACCCACAGTGGTGTGGGGGCCCCAGCGCCAGTGAGGGCGCAGCATCCTCATATGGGACCCACAGTAGTGTGGGGATTCCAGTGCCAGTAAGGGCGTGGCGTGCGGGGTGCATCGACCCCCAGCCCCAGAGAGGGGCGGTTGAGAAGCCCAAGTGCGAGCATGGCGAGCCCCTGAGGAAGGGGGTAGCAGTGCAGTGAGCCCCGGAGAAAGGGGGTAGCAGTGCGATGGGCCCGAGAGACAGGCGGCTTGACCGAGAAGGCCCCAGTGGGCACAGAGCCCAGGAAAGGGGCGGCATAATGGAGAAGGCCCAGAGTGGGCACAGACGGCCCCAGGAGGGGGACGGCGTTCTTAAGAAGGCCCGGAGAGAGGGCGACAGCACAGAGAAGGCCCAGAGTGGGCACAGAGAGCCCCCAGCAGGGGGCGGCAGTACAGAGGAGGCCCGGAGAGACGGGCGCGAGTGCTGACAGAGAGACCGAACAACGTCTATTCCAACTGTGAGGCTTGGGGCGTGGTATAAGGGATGGTTGGAGCCACACATAGCCCATAAGGCTAGGGTGCCCCAAAGCACCTATTTGCAGGACAAGACCCACGAGGAGTCCGGGAAACCACGGGGTCAGAATCAACATAGGGAAGTGACCAAGAGGGTGTAAGGCAGCCTCCCAACTTTATCTAAACATCAAAGACGTGGCAGGCGAGAATCAGAGGGTGCCCTTGGGCTGACTTGGCACAGAGGAAGGGGCCTTAAGGAGATCACAGCCCTCCGGTAGGACCCCGCCGTGACACGTGGACCGGCTTGGCACGGGGGAAGGGGTCTTAAGGAGATCACGGCCCTCCTGGAGGACCCTGCCCGTGACATGCAGTATCAGACTTAACTGATTTGGCTCAAACGGGTTTATGCAATGTCTGTCCCAGAACCCTTGCTAGTTTAAGATAAACCAGACACCCCCAGCATCCCAGCATGCTCCCTGGGCTGGGTGGGGCTCTCTGCTCCACAGTAGAGCTGGCCCCCACCTCTGCTCCCTGGCTGGCACTCTGGAGCTCTGGCAGAGACTTGCAGGCACAGCAGGGTCTGCCTGGCTTCCCCCATCCCCTTCCCCACATTATTGTCAGACCCTCTTCTTCCTGAGCACATGGAAGGGAAGAACAAATTTGAAAAAAAACTGACCTTGAAATAAACATAACTGTAGCAATTTGCATATAGTACCCATAGACTTAGTTCACCTAGAAATAATGCATTTTACCTTTTTAAAACTGCTGCTCTTTGGGACTGTGACATAGCAGCTTTAGTGCTCTGTCACTTTAAGGGCTGGAGCAGACAGCCACCAGGTGGCTGATTGCAGTGGCCATTTTCAAACTTAGACCAGAAAGGCAGCAGTCTGGGTTGAGCAGCCAAGGAGGCAACATCAGGCTGAGCTGCTCCTGGAACACTTGGAGGCAAGGGTGAGGCTATAGGGAAGGAAGAGGCCTCATTGGTCCTGGGTATGACTTGAAACTGCACCCTGCTGAGGAACAGTGGCCTGGTAGAGCTACCTGTAGCAGGGTAGCTCCCCAGAAATGCCAGGCCAGTTACCTTCCTGGTGAAAGGCAAGGAGGGGTGCCTGAAAACCCCAGCCCTCACATCCCTGGTGGGTTCAATCTACACAGGGGGAGCCCAGGCTCATGGGAGTCCTGAGGCAGGGCCCAGGTCAGTGGAGGGACCTGGAGCAGTACCCAGGCTCCTTGTGAGACCTGAGGTTGCAGAGGCCCTGAGAAGGGGCCAGGCATGGCTGTGGCCTCCTGAACCCCACAAGGTGGAAGACGGCCCCTGGCCCCACATACTGGGCTTACGGGCCCCCAGTGTGTGTTTGTGTATGTTTGTATATTTGTCTATCTAAAGGAAGAACCCAGTGCAAACCACTGGAGGGAACATCTGTGAGGCATGGGACATGTAAGGGGTGGTTGGAGCATGTAAACATTGGCTCATTTCAAGTGGGGCACTCAAAGGGCAGCCTCCCACCTACTTAACATCTTGATTATTTAACAAGAAGGCATGGCAGAAGAGCAAGGCGGGTGGTTTGCCCAAAGACAGGGGCGGGTCCATACTAACATTGGGCCTGGAAGTCACCCTTGTCACAGGCACCCACTTACTATGTAGTGTAAACTTTTTTTTTTTCTTTAAAGAAAATGTTTCATGTCCAAAGTCAAATTATCCAGACCAGGTCCAAATCTGTTTGAATCCTGCAAGAACCATATATGGCCCTGTATAACGGCAAGTATCCTCCACCTCAGCCTGAAATGTCTTTTGAACTAGTTTCTTATCACTTCAACTAAACTTTGATGACTGTGATTATTTTTTATTACACATTTGTGACAGACAGCACAGCAGCATTTTATATGCTAAAAAAATAGAGAAGGGAATAGTCATATCTTTTAATCTGCCAAGACCCTGACACACAAACACATTTGGGGGTGGACTCACAAAGACAGATGCTAAAGCTCTGGCCCTCTTTATACACTCACAATAAATTAGAGATCTAACTAAGTGACTGTGACTGCCCATTAGGTGGCTAGACATACAAATTACATTAATTATTTGCTGAACCCATCAGCACAACAAGGCAGGGTGGGCAAAAACACAGCTGAAAATTAGACTCATGCTGTCAGCCTTCTTAAGCAAATTGTTAAAAGCCTTCCTAGAAAATACCATGAGCATATTCTCTCATGTTTCTAAAATCCCTGCAAAACTGAAACAACTGGAAGTGCTGCAGTTGTTAATTAATCCATCTTTACCTGTATACATCTGGGGACAAAGACAGCTCTAACAACTGTATGATATCAAAGGATACTGATACAAGTTGTTATGAGACAACTGTTATGTCTGTATGATTCTGTAGTAATACTGGTATGGTAAAACCAGTCTTGCCAAACTGCAGTCTGAAAGTTGTAAGCTGGCAAAGCAAGTTATGTAATGTATTCACCCTCCTTTGCATACATTACCAAAGTCTTTGGGCCTGACTGCTCTCACTTAAACTAGTGTAAAAAACACAATATTTCACTGAACTCAAAGTACAACTGTCAAAGGGAGAGCACTGCTAGGACCACTAATTAATGAACTAAACATGACAGAATACTGAATAATTTAGTAATACGGATATTTTCCTTTCAAGATTAAATGTCCTTTGGATTCAGTGAGTCAGTGTTAAAATAATGTCGTTGGTCTTCTGGTCAACAGGTTTTGATTCATGCCATATTGGCTCTTTGGCAGAACTTCAAGAGAACTGCAAATGGGATTTTAAAGAGCTGTTACCCGTAGCCTAACTCTGGTCTCATGGAGCTCAATAGATCAGACTTACCTCAAGATGGAAAACTTTGGAAAAATCCATTCATGTTTTGTTTTACTGTTAGAACATGCCATTCTATGCTTTCTTTGTTTCAGGGTTTTTTTTTTTTTTTACTGTTTTAAAATCTGAAGGAATAAACACTGATATTGTAACTTTCCTGATTTATAATATATGCTCTTCACAAATACACTTTAAACAAAATTTTCCTCTGATGCTTGTGGATTGCATGTGCCCAGGATATAGTGATATCTTCCCCTACTGATTTACCTACCAACTGTGTAAATCAGCAAAAGCAGCTTTGATCTTCTTCACTGAATTATCTACCTCCTCTTTGATCATCATGCGGTATCTGGTTAGAGAAACAGTGCAACGCTGCAAATCTTTAACTGATTTTTCAATGTTCGGACCTAAAGCAAAACAAAAATAGTACAAACATGAGCAACCTGATTGCTGAATATTCTGGTGGGGGGAAAAAAAACTCTCAAAGTTATTTTTATAATGTCTTAAATAAAATTATGTACTGAAGTCAATAGGACTTTTGCTAGGGACTCCAACAGTGCCCAGATTTCACTGTTAGTTTTTCTATGCTTTTAATATCCTAAAACATATGATGACATTCAGCCCCAAATCAAAATAATAAGAATTATCAGTATTGGACACTGACAACATCTTCCTACATTTGCAAACAAGTTTTTCTTTGGTAAAAGCATTTCAAATGGACTACAGATATTCCTGTTCATTCTAGTTATGCTGGGTTTCATTCGGTTTTTACTGAAACCAGAACAATTTACCTAACACTACTGAAATTACCCTTGATTTACAGGAGATCTGGATCAGACCCTCTAAATCTATGAAATCTTTCGAATGAAGATGAGAAAAGAAAACCCACTTACAGTTCTGATGTAGAAAGTGATACTATCCCTATATTCTTTTCTTAATGAATTGTCATCGTCCTCCTCCTCCTACCAGTTCATCTAGCTGCAGTCCTCAGATTATGCACCACAAATCCGTTCACCTCACAGTTCAAAGAGTGATTAAAAAATTACATTTACCTCTTTTCTTGATTGAATCATCTGGTTTTTTTTCAAGATGGGCTGCTGGGTTTGATGACTTAACTATAGATGCTTTTGACTTTGGCCTGCCTAGATTATGGTGAGGTTGAACTGATGATTGAAAAGTATCACACTGTTCTGTTCCATTTATAGACTTGTGGTTTAAATCCACTCCTCCTCTTTTATGCTCTAGTCCTTTGTCTGCAAGAGAACATAAAATTATGAGTTGGGAATTACAGACTATGAAAAGATTCATTGTTTTTGGATCAGGATGGTATCATGTTTATACACTGGTAAAATAAGGTTTCTCTTTCACACCCAGACATTCTACAGAATTGTGAACTAGTAACAGGACAGAATTTGATTGGCTCTATCATTAAAAACTGATCTATATATTTGTAATTCAGCAGTCTGAAGAAAAAGGATAAAGTGAACTGACTTTTCTGTACTGATATGGTGAAAATATCTCACCCCAGAAGCTATGTACTTTATTAATTTTAGCCGTTCCTCAAATACCTTGGGACAGAAGCAGACAATACTAAGACTGCTATGCAGAACAAAGGAGTTTGTGTCTTTTTATAATTATCATAGCCCATCAGATTACCCATGTGATATTTCCTTGACTGAATTCATTTAGTTAAATCATAAGTGGCTGAAAACTGGGTAACAAAAAGGAAATAAAACAAAGGCAAAGGTAAGACACCTGGATTCAATAGCTTCTGAGGAGTTAAGATAGCAGTAGCAACTGGCAAGACAAATTGGGATGAAGTTTCCTGCAATGCTCCCCTTTGAATGAGAAAGTGTGTTTTACCATTCTTAGGGCTGAAAGCCTATAATTAAGGGGTCCCAGTGCACAAAGATGTTGGCATCAGGAAGAAGGGGTCACTGGTCAGAGAGAGGCCATGAGAGCTGACCGGCAAGCAAGGAAACACAGAAAGAAAGAGCCTGGTAAGAGTAGAGCACCCTGTTTCACTTAACTGGGGATGGGAATACACAGGGCCTATCCGAGCTGTAGATAAAAAAAATGAAGCTTAAGAACATTTGCATAAAGGACTCTGTTGTGTTAACCTGTATTTCAAAAAGCTGGATTCCCATTGTGAATTAAATGCTACTTTGTTTTAAAGATGCTCTTTTTCTGAATCAGCAGCTTCACTGGCCCCTGGAGAAAAAAATGCTTACGAGATATCAAAAACAGTTGAAGTTACTGGACCAACATGGCTGGTAAAACAGGGCTGAGGCCCTGAGATCCAGTCTCAGGTTGGTTAGACAGCGTAGGTTACCAAAGCAGGGATAAGCAGCATTTTGTAGTTGGGGGTGAGTTTTAACAGAGCTTAGCTTGAGTGCAGGGTCCTTCCAATCCAGCTCATGGTGCTGCCACAGCCACCACTACCTCTGAGCAGTGCTGTCATCAGTGCTTATCCCTGGTGACCGGGTGCCTCACTGGAAAAGACCCCCACAGAAGTAACTCCACAGGCCAGATAAAAGGCTCAAAGGCTGGATCCAGCCTGTGGGCCGTAGGCTGCTGATCTCTGACCTAGAGCAAGGGGCAAGAAGCTAGGCCTATGATCTAAAGAAGCACTCAGCTGGGACTGAAAACAGCCTGAGATGTCTTTCTCTGTAACCATGACAACATCATAAGGCTGGAAGAATAAGGAGAAAAATCAAGTCTGCAATTTTGAATTCACAAAGTGGAAAGGGCAGGGAGGTAGATGTTTCTAATACTGAGGTGTAGTATGCAGAGTGTTCTGATCATTTCACTGTTTATAAGGGATTAAAAAGTGTATTGAAAAAGGGGAAAAAAAGTAACACACATGAAAACAGTTAATTTAGAAAGCTTGTATTTGTGCCTCAGGAAGCAAGAAATATCAGGCCTTCACAGTTATAATTATGAAAAGTGTAATGCATCTCAGTTCAGAAGTAGCAGCTGGCACTCAGGAGCAGGAGCCATGAGCTCCACCTTGACCATGCTACATTTAACCTTGAACAAGTCACTGTTCGTTTCAGTTACTATTCTTCACGCAGCTTTTGCTTTAAAACAGAGCTGTTCTACTGCTGGCATGCAGGCCAGATCTGGCCCAGAGAGCCACAGTATCTGGCCTGCAGGGCTCCTCATGAGTTGCAAAATTTGGCAGCAGGGGAGCAATGGCAATTAATACCGCTAGCCTTCCCCTGCTGACAAATTCCCAAGCCCAGAGTGGCCAGGTCAAGGTTGATCCCTACCCCCTGTGGTCCAAATGGTGTCAGGCTGGCCCCCTCCCTCCATATGGCTGGATTGGGTCCCACTCTGGGCAGCTGGACTGGGGTCCACTGTGCCCACCCTGCACACCGGATCTAGCTCACCAGCTGGATCTGACCTGACGACCGACTGAGCACTGCCTATCCAGCCCATGGAGGAAAAAAGGTTAAGCCCCACCACTTTTAACACAGCCTGTTTCTTACACAATTCATGACATTCTCAGTGATTAAGTACTTCTCAGCAGACAGTACCAGCTAGCAGTCCAGTGGGCAGAGAAGACAGAATCACCACTCCTGAGTTCTGTCCTCAGATCTGTCCCAACTTGTTTTGTGATCCTGGATATGCTGCAAAGTGCTTTGAGATTTTGGTTTAAAATGCAAAATTATTATCACTCAAGATATTTGGCAGTTTTGAACACTCATGGAAAAAATGCCAAATAAAAATCTTTCAGCTTAAAGTCATCTTGCCAGTGATTATAGTTTAAAAACAATTTACCACTAAAATACTTCATCTGTTATTTACCTCAGCATCATGTTTGAAAATGTCAAACAATCCATTTTGAGGCCCAGAAGCAAGAAGAGCCACACAGCCAAGCAAACAACTTCTAAAACACAATTCAGCACAATTAGGGCAGATTGGAAAAGTCTGCACTGAACCCCTGAATGTACCAGCTACACAACACATATCACTAAGATTAGGAACACAGACTCTGACAAACAAATGGAAAATCAATGGCTGGTGTAACTAGAGCTAAAGAAGTAAACTTCAGTGGTGTTCAGTATTTCGTAAGGGTTTGCAACACTAACATTTTAGTCTAAGATGTAATCTCCAATGTATTAACAGCTAAGCATTTACCAAGACCTGGCAGTAATGGGACCAGCCCAAAGAGACTCACTCTGAATCCCCAGGGGAGCTACCGACTATGGAATGTGTGTTTTATCTTGTTATAACACCGTGACATTCAGAATCTAAAAAAAAAAAAGTCTTGACAGAGCACTTTGCTGGAAGAGGAAAAGCTGTCTTGGTGTTTTGGGGGAATTAGCAGAATTTCCCTATATGAAAAACAACTTTAAAAGTGGGAATTAAGATGGCATTTGTGTATTCAGTTCCACTTAAATCTATAAAAATACTATAGTGTGGTAAAGATGGTACCTAAATTCTCTTTTTAGTATTAACTTACGGGGGCTGAGTGGCTGTAAGAGCTGATATTTAGCTTTTTCGTAGGACATTCATTTAGATTATGGAGGTTTCAGTACAATTGTTAACATCTATACCTTTGGAATAAGACCATGGAGGTCTCTAATTAATCCATAATTCAATTTTACATCTCACCTGAAAGAGAGCACCTCTGAGTACAGAACCCCCCATACCCGCTTTACACCATGCTTTGGTTGGTTATGTATTAGTTAAAACTACCCTCTACTTTGCCATCTGTGTCACTTCCCAAATCACCTGGTTTTACTTGAAAGCTTCTCTTTTGTCTTCTGACTTGGTATGGCTTTACTAAATCTGAAATTTTTTGCAACACACCACTAGGTAGTAAGGCTGAAGAAAAATGCCTCTAAACACACTATTAGGTCACTTATTAAATTGGTAAGTTAAGAGGAGAAAAAGAAGTGTTCATTGGCTAAGCCTTTCTAAGCCTTTCTCTGAAAAGGGAAGGAGATGCTGCTTAGACTACAGAGCACTTTTAATTGTCCCCACATAATGCTTCAACTACAGTGGAATCCCCTACTCCCATTTTACTAATGGTTCAGTTATAAGTACTTTAAGTGTACAAGGCCTAATTCTGGTTGCACAAAAATAAGACAAAGTGCAGATAGCCTATCTAGCATCCTGGGGTTTGGATGCAATGCGTGTAAACCACTGGAAAGCATTATTTTACTATGTTTGAGAGAGGCAGCTGGTGCTCAGTGGGTCAGCTCCTGAAGTCTCAGAGCAGCACTAATGGCATAACAAGAACAGGTACTTATCCGTCAAACTATGGTTCCTTAAGCTGTTGCAGTGTGTGTTGATTGCAGTAGATACATAAGTATGTCATGTGCACGAAGATGCATTTTTTTCTGATAACTACCAGTCAGGGTTCTGGATGCACTCTATATATCCTCATACTCCCAAGCAAGTTCGTAAAGGAATAGGTGGCTTTAAACTGCTTTTTACTTCCATTACATTTCAAAGCCCATGTTCTTGAGGCTTCTAAAAAATGGGGATCTGTAGACTATAATACTGTGAAGAACCATAATTACTGTAGTTTCTTCTTCCATATATTCAAAGGGAGAAGCTTAGCAGCTAATTGACAGCAAGTGGAAATACACTTCAAGATTCTCTGCAATCAGAAAATTTGTCCTTCAAATATGCCACATAAAGTCAAAAAAAACAAAGTGATAGTACCTCAAAACCTTGGTCCTGCTGAGGACACACAGCAAGGTCTAGAGCAGAGGTGCTCAACCCCCAGCCTGCGGGCAAGATCCAGCCCCTGGCAATATGTCATCTGACATGCAGAGCTCCCCACAGGTCCATGAGAAGCCCTGCTGGTCACAGTGCGAGATTTTGGTACATGAAGCCTCAGGATCCAATCCCAGCACGAGAGGCCAGGTGAAACTGGCATGGAGCCCCAGGGCCCAAGCTCAAAGCATGGGGGCTGGTCAAGGCTGTGCTGGGCCTGATCCTAGAATGTGGAGTCCAATCTGGCCCGTGGATTGGCCCTGTGCCACTCATCTGGCCTATAGGGCCAAAAGGTTGAGTGCCACTCCTCTAAAGTCATCCAACATATGGTACTTTTTCTCTCCTCTCCTATCAAATGCAGCTTTGGGAAGATTAATAAGGAGTGGATTGCTTCAGGAAGAATTCTGAGACCACCCCCCATTAGAGATAAATCCTATGAATGGTTTCAGCTACTTTTTATCTGCAGAAGGATGTGTAAAGTAGCCCAGCCATAACAGCTCAAAACCTTATGACAGTCCATGTGGAGATAAGAGAGACTGTCTTGATGGCAAGGTGGTATATTGAGAACCTAATAGCGGTTCAAAGTGAGGTTCCATAAACTTTTTAGAAGGATGTTGTTGAGACTTCACAAGGGAGTTACGCCTTTGACTGAAGGTGTGAAGAAAAAGAAGAAGAAATAGTGCTCGAGTGTGAGAAGGTAAGAGTACAACTGTACCTAAATGAGACACTGTGACAAAGTGAACCTCACAGAAATTAAAGCCTAATCCCATGCATTTCAGGAGCCTCACACTGCAAGATCTTCCGCTCTGGAGCCTGCACTGCATCAACATTATGCTGAGTTGCCATGCAGAGTCCTTTCCATTCTAAGGTCTTCCTGGTGGAATATTTCCTGTATAAGAATTTCTTAACCTGTAGGGAGGTGGCTGTGTATCATTGTTGTTCAGCTACCCAATATCCAGGCCATCAAAATGCAACAACTTGAGGCTGAGCACAGTGTCCCAAAACGTCAGTTATTACATCCAAGCAGACTGGAAGGTATATGGCAAACTACTTGGACATCATAACCCAGTACTGCAGGGACTCTGAACAGCAAGTTTCAGACTATAGAGCTGGTGATCAATTCACGTCAGTCAAAAAGGGGATCAGGAATAGCTCTGGAGATCTTCAGAAGATTTCAAAGAAATGGTATAACTTAAGAGTAGTTATTCTGATTTACTTTGGATTTTGGCTGGGATCCAGACCTCTCCCTAGACTGAAGGTAGGATAAGGGATGATTCAGGATATGTCTACTCTGAAAACTTAGTATGCTAGGCAGCAGCAACCTTAAACATACCATGCTACATGTGCTATCTTCTGAACTAGAAGCAGTATAGCCATGTTCATGTGGTGCAGCACCTGGGCTAATTAGCAAATGAGCACTGTCATTCAGCAGAGCTCACTACCCTAGTGCAGCAGTGCCTGAACATGGCTCTACTTCTCCCAGTTCAGGATGCAGCAGGCATGGAGCAGTGCAGAATCTTTGGGAACACTGATGCTTGACACAGGAAGTTTGTGCTGTAGTTTCCCTAGTATCAGCTGCACCAAGCAGGAACTAGTGGAACCTGAGGAGTCAGGCCAAGATTTAAGTGCCAAATGTCATTGGCATAATTAGGGCAAGGTGACTGAGGGAGGGAAGAAGAGGGGAAGAGGGAGGGAAAGGGATGGAAAAAAAAATGGCTGTGTAGCAGCTGCTGAAAGTTGCCACTGACCCATTTTGCAGCTGCCCCAGGTGCCCAGCCGCATCACTATGCAGCAGGTCACTAAAGGCCAGGACACATCTGCCTGTTGTGTCACGTAATGGCCAGAAAAATACACAGCAAGGAAACCCACCTTCATTCTAAGCCTTCTCCTTTATAATCTGCAGTCTGTTATATTACAACTCTTGGTAAAATGTGTTCCGCAAAAAACAACAGCATAAGGCACCTCAGACAGAGTGAAACAGATTATTACACTAGAAGAATATCAGCAAACCTAAGCTAGGGACAGTGAGCACCATGCTACTCTCCTCTACACCCCAATGGAAATACACACTGCGAACATCAGAGCTTAGGTATGACAGCATCCTCTGACACACAATGATAGGAAAAAAATAAAAAAAGACAAGGAAAAACAAAACAAGAGACGTTAATATAAAAGGAGCACATTTGAAAGCAGTACACTTAGTAATGCTTGACAGAATTTTCAGCTGCTTTCCAGCACTTCAACACATATCATTTGTCTTCATCAGAAGCCACAGGAGTGTGGCAGCTGACCTCTAAGAGATCATACTCAACATTTTGGCTCATACAGTTCTTCTAACTTCATACATATAGACACACACACACAAGAGAGCTTATTTGACCCTAAAATGCTAATATAGTATTGCACTTTTTCTATGGCGTAAACACAGAGCTTTTATTTTCTCATGCTTAAGTAGAAAGTGAACTATAGGAGAAACTCTTACCACTTCAGAATTTAAAACACAAATTTAGAATAAAAATGTGACATCATTGTCATGTACTTCAGTACCAAGCCAGAAGAATTGTGACTTTTTTTTTGCAGTTCTAACATACAACTTTTCTGCATCAGGTCAGGGAGACACAAATACGTAACCCATTGTCCCACACACTACATTATTAATAACACATGCTCCATCCCCAAACAGCACAACTATTTTGCTCTATCACCTTTCAGAACAGTTCCTGGACACTCAAGCCCCCCTCACATGCCCTCTTGGTCATGTATATCTAGGGCACTTGTGCTCTTCCAAAGGCCCAAGACAAACTTTCTAGAGCTCTTCAAAGAGGCAAGGGCAGTGCCCAGTCACTGTACAAGCAGGTGTGCATGGGAGCAAGGCACAATCCACACTGGAGAAGAACAGGATATTTTGCCCTGCTCCACCTTTCAAAATACCAGTCGAGATAGCAACTCCAAGACATTGACCAAGGTAATTTGATATTCTGTGGCAGATATTATAAAGAAAATAAAACATGTATATTTACATATTGCAGAATAAAAAATAATTATGTTAACATTATGGAATTGTGGAATTTTGGAGGGGGAAAAATTGAACATATTGGTGAAAAGTTGAACATATTGGTGAAATATATTCTTGGTAAAATATGAAAGAACAATTACTGAACCTCAGTCATTAATCTCTTTCTCAGACTACAGTTCATTTATGCTAATTAGTTGTACTCAGAAGTTCTGCTGGATTTTGTGTCTAATTGACCAGAGGTGGGCACCACCACCAAAGCGTTCTAGAAGCAGCAGAGAATTAATTTCAGGGCAACTATGCATGTAACATAAACCTTTAAAGTTTAATTTAAGAAGTAGGTTTGTAATCATGAAAAATGGGCTCCAAGGAAAACTCTTTAATGCAATCTGCTAAACTCTGAAACATATATTTGTCAGGCATACAATTTAAAATAAACATGAACTTGATGGAGGATGTAAAAAAAAGAATGGGAACCATTCATCGAGTATTCTTCCCAGGGGATGCAGTTAGTTTTCACTGATGTTTCAGAAAACAAACTTTAACATTAAAAAAGCCTCAGGAAAGGGGAATTTTCAGATTTCATTATTGCCTCCAGCAGTTCTAGATCAGCATTCAAATCCTGGGTACAAAAAACCATGTCCAGTAAATGAGAAACTGAAAGACTGAATCTCCCACCAGTAGATGCAGAAGCTTATCCCAGTTAAATTCTAGGAGTTTTGCTAGGGAGAATCTCTAGAGAATACAAATAAAACTGGAAAGGGCTCTTGAAATGTTGCACATTCCATGACACCCTTAAAATCCCAATCATTTTATCTATTTTGGGGATACAGTTCTGTCTCCCTCTCTCTCTCACCATAGACTTTTCTGCTTCTGCAGTCTGTTACACTACCTGATATTGAGGCAAACCTAACAGTCCTTCTTCTGAGATAAGAATGTCTGAATCTCCATAGTGCAAGGAGAATTGTACCTGCACCAGGGTTTACCTGCTTGGTTTTCCTTGCAAAATGAGGGCTTTTATCCAAACACAGCTGCCTAATTCATTCTTTTAATTCAAATTTACAAATAACATTTTTTGCAAATACACTGACCTGCAATTTCTGGATGCATCTGTATTACATCTGCAAATCCTGGGTTTTTGTCCTCATGAGACATCTTTTCTGATTTGTCATTGGCAGAGTCACTTGAAGAGGTATCTTTATCACATCCATTCAAATGGCAGCCATATATCCCATGGGGCTCTAGAGATACCTTTTCAGTTCCATCATCTTTATCTTTAGCATCTTTATTGCCTTGATACTGTTTAGATTTGCTTCTTTTTCTTTTATTGTTCTAAATTGAGAAATATTGGGAGATAAGAGACATTATTTAGTACAGGTCACAACTGAAAATAAAAGCAGTAAGCTGTCCATACTCTTTAGTTTTGAAAAATGCCTCATAAATTATATTCCCTGTAATGACATTTACAGGCTATGATATACCATGCAATTCAATGTATCTGTTTGACTGGTTGTCTAAATAGTTTGAAAATATGAGTGGAATTTGCAACCCTGAACAATATTCTTTTCTCTACATATATTTTTATTTTTAAATGATAATAGCACCTGCTCTGAACTATGTTGCTGCCCCAAAAGGTTGTAGTCAGCCTAGCTAAGCAGTCTGCAATTGTCAAAGACAAACCCACAAAGCAGTAACCTAATTACACGTATAATTCCTTGCAGAGATGACCCTAGCAGGGTGCAGGGCCTGGGGCAAATCAGCCCGTGTAGGGCCCGGATGAAAAAAAGCCAGTGGCGGTGGGGGGAGGCAAACAGCCAGACATGAAGCCATCAGCAGCAGCAGTGCAGTCACCAGCAGTAGGTGGGCCCTGCAAGAGGGGCCCTGGCTGCTCCACCTGGCACCATGGGCCCCCCCAAAGCGCGGGGCCTGGGGCGGTCACCCTGATTTGTGCCTCCCCCGGGATGTCCCTGTTCCTTGAGTGATGCGGTTACTTAGTATGTTTTCACTGTCATTTTATCATATGTTTGAAATAAAACCAGTGGAACTCCTAGTGGCAGGTGATCAAGAGAAAATCTACGGGGCAGCAGAAGCTGGCTTATCTTTTTGTGGCTCTCCCTGCACCCCACGGACAGGCTGCTCTGCACACTCTTCATAACAAAGTCTCAGAAAAACAATCTGGTGGTAAGGGGCTGGCCTAAATGTCTGGAGCATGACCTTCATGCTGATGTTACACGTTCTGACATGGTTAGCATCCTTACCCACACACCCCAACACAGATCATTCATGGATGGTATTAACCTGCTATCATGCATGCGTGGTTGTGGGAGATTGTAAATGGCAGTTACCAGCAGAAACACAGGTGCACACTAAATGTGTTTTTGCAGTGTATGTATGTTATTTGGGGAAGAATTTTTTATTTCTAAAGCCTGTTTTCTATGTGTGAACCCAGCTGTCCAGAAAACTCTATAACAATAGGAGATGAGAGACATAACAACAAAAGAGCTGGATTACAAAATAAAGCACAAATTTACTTTGAAGCTTTGGAATACACATGTGGATTGAGCCATTTATCATGTTAGTAAATGAACACAAAGGTTTGGCAATACTCATACTGCTCAACACCACAGAATACTGATGAATGGTGCTAAATGTTTTAACTGTCAATAGTGAGTCCTTACCTTCTTTTTCCCTGTCATATTCCATTCTTTTAGAACCTGAGCTGCACTACCTAGAGTAGGAAAAGATAAAACACTTCAACAAATGTTCAGCTGTGATAAAGGACAGTGCTTAAAAATTATTCCCAGTCTCCTTATTAGGCAATGTGTCCATGCAAGTGTTTCACATGTTGGAGGAACAAAATGATAACTACTATATTAACACTTACTTTTCACAGATTGTCATATTCATTGGATTTATAATACAATATTATTTTTTAAAATTTAATGTACCTGTATCACTATGTGATCATAGTGATTTCTTACTATGTGAAAAACATAGTGATTCTCATCATTCGAACTAGGAGAGTAATTAAGATTGCCTTAAAAATTCTCTATTTAAAATATCATTACACTAAGGAAAACAGTTACATTACTTGTGTTTGGTGAATGGATGTTGGTGTCAGAGTGTGTGTAAAATGTTCTGTTTTAAAAGCACTAATGCTTTACATCTACACTACAATATGCATGTTGCTTTGCAGAAGTGCTTTTTATAGTTCTGATTCAATAAAACCACTCAAGAAAGTATGTGCAAGTCCTATTGAAATCATATGCTTTACTATATACTATATAGGGATGTCTTTAAAGGTAAGGCAGAAGGTAGAGTAGAGTTGCACCTTATTGTTGGCAGAGGCAGTTCCTTGATACAAGGATGATAGTCTTCCAGTAAGAAAGGAAGTCATTAGTGATAGATGACTGAGGAGGCCTAGCCAAGATCTGCACATTCAATTGCAGATGTAGCAAGTAGTTCCAGGAAGTAGTAGATCCTGGTGATGTTGGGTTACAACTCCTACCATTTTGTCTCTCTCTTCTATCTGCCTCCAAAGTGAGGCGAGTTTGTTCAAAATGATCAATGCCTTATTATACATAGTGGTGCCACTGATGATGGTTCAGTGCTTGAGTCTCCCACTGTTGATGTTAACATTGGATTTCTTCAGATTGGCCTTCAAAATATCCTTGGATTTCTTCTTTGCTCACCTCTAGAGCAGTTAACATTGGTGAACAGAGTACAGGACCTGTTCTGGTAGTCAGTGTTGCAGGACACTACGGTGTCCTGCTCCTTTTAAGGGCTGGAACTGCAGTCAGTTGGGAGCCCCAGCTACTGTTTGCCAGGGCAGCCAGGATGAGCTAGTTGGCCCACACCTGCCAGCGGTCAGCTGACTGGAAGGGGCAGGGCCTGGCTCATACAAAACCCCCCATGGCTGAAGCCAGGAAGGCAGTTCTCTGCCAGCAGCCAAGGGGAAAGGAGCTCTCCCAGAGGAAGCAAAGGAGAGAGGCCTGACTGCAGGTACAGCTTCCAGTACTGTTGAGGGACACAGCACGCCCTGTGTGGCTCGAATTATGTTAGCTGGGTAGCTTGAGTTAGGTTATAGCCTTGGGGCTTGCACGTTGATTTCTGTTTATAATACCGATGGTTTGGGTGAGCCTATTTGGGGAAGGAGGAGGCCTCATTGGGGGCCCACTGCAGTGTGGGGACCCTGGTGCCAGTGAGGGTGCATTTGGGGGCACAGACCCTGGCGCCAGCGAGGGCATGGCATTTGGGGGCTGTGGAGAGCCCAGAGAGGACGAGGGGGCCAATTCATACCAAGGCCCAGACCGAACAACGTCAATGCCATCTGCGAGGCTTGGGGCATGGGGCTTGGTAAAGGGGCGGTTGGAGCCACACACATAGCCCATAAGGCTGGGGTGTCCTGTGACATCTATTCTGAAGCAGGACCCACAAGGGGTCTGGGAACCCACGTAAACCGTGTCCAAGAGGACTTAAAAGCAGCCTCCCTATACTATAAATCCATCAAGATGTGGCAGGTGAGAACTGAGGGTGCCCAGCAAGTCAAACTGGCACGGTTGAGGGGCTTTAGGGGTAACGCGACCATCCTTAGGGACCCCATACTGTGACACTCAGTTGTCAGGCACTCTTAAGACATGTGCTGTTCAACAAAGCTGGTGCCATATAAAGATGGCTTCAATGCTGATATGGTTTGCTTGAGCCAGAATGCCTGCATTTGTGTCTTTGCAACTGATATGGAAGTTTTTCCAAAGAAAACACAGATGGTAACGTTCTAAAGTTTTCAGGTGTTTCTGACACATTGGCCAAATTTCACACCCATATCCAGTAACAGGGTAGAGGTGACACTAGCTTGGTAAACAAGAAGTTTGAGTCCTGATGTCACGATCATCAAAGACTTGCTTTCAGAGATGTCCAAAGCCATTGCTGGCAATTTTCTTCAGCACTGAATATCACTGCCTACATTTACTTTTTGGGAAAGTAGAAAAAATGGAAAAGAGCGTTGGTGCAACCACACACCCTGGCTTGGCTCCAGTTCTAATAGTGAACAGATCAACTTCTGAGCCATTGCTTATGACAGCTACTGCCATGCCATCATGAAAGAGTCTGATAATGACAACATATTTTGGCAGGAATCTAAATCTCATCAGAATCTTCCACAGCACTTCTCTGCTTAGAGAAACCAGGGGTGGCCAACCTGTGGCACAAGTGCCACTAGTTGCACAAGCAACCTGTGTGTGTGTGTGACAAACAGTAGTCAGAGGAGGGGACAGGCAGCACAGTGACAGACAGGACAGAAGAAGGTACTGAAGTGGTATTTGGGGAGGGTGTAGGCTAGTTTGTGGCACACATACCAAAAAGTTTGGCCCCCACTGTTATAGATCAACTAAATCAGAGATGTATGGCAAGAAGTTTTGTGAGCCTGAGCTCACTTCCTCAGATAGTAATGAACGGTGTTAATGTTCTAACTCTCAATTTTGAGTCCTTACCTTCCTCTTCCTTGTCACAGGCCATTCTTTTAGAATCTGAACTTCACTAGAGTTTCTCTATAAGGTGAAAATCTATCCTGCTTTATGTCTGACTTCAGAGTAACGTGACTAGCTACCTCTCTCTGCTCACTAAAAAGTACGCTTATATTAGGTGGTTTTACTGAATAGGGGCCTAAGATGAGTAACAAGGACTCTAAGATGGAGGCAACTACTGAAGAGGTAATGGTCTGGTTACATGGCCGCAGGAGGATTGAGCCCAGTACCTGCCTGTTGTTCCCACTGCAGGCTGACGTGAAGGGTGGTCTCCAAATCCGGTGCTCAGTGCGGTTGGCTGGGGAGCAGTTCCCCAACCCCCTGGGTGTCTCGCTAGTGTCTTGGAGTATCCATAGCACAAACCCTTTGTTCCAGCAGTCTCAGCTGTCAGCCATAACTGCTGCTACATGGTATAGGAGTGGCATATGCTTGGGGCAAGTGGTGTAGGTCATTGCATTATGAATAAGGGCACCATCTGTGGGTATCATCTTCTCTCCAGGCAACTAACAACCATCAGCCACATGATGCAGTGTTGGTGAACCCTAGTCAGAAATGGGAATGGCCAGCAGGAGTGTCTGTCAAGGGGCTGGAGGTGGGGCTGATGGCCTGCACAGGCTGTTAAGCATTAAATGGTCATCTAGACTGGCTGCGCGTCGGCTGAGGAGCTTCCACAGCCTTTCTGAAAGTCCATTAGGTGGCACTGTCTAGCTCTTATAGGACAGGTGACAATCAAGGCCCCTAGGTCTCTACTGATGCCCCTTAAGGCCTTCAATCTGAAACTGGGTGTGACAGGGGGCCTACTCGGGGTCAGGTCTCATCCTCAGCCAGCCTACCTGTCTCTGGGACAGTCTGCCCAGTCTCACCTGCCACGGCTTGCTGTAAAAAATGTGGGAGATTGCCCATTTAATGTCCTGATGCCTAGGGCATTGTAACAGCTCCAGTGTTTCCTATACCATGTCCCATGCCTCTCAGATGGCATCCAAAACAAGTTCTTAACTTTGGACCCAAACTCAGCCTCACCACATCTGAGGACTTATTGGGGTCTCAGCCTCTGGGCCAACTGCGGCCTCAGGTGTCCATAGACATACTCTGGCCATTCTGCCCCCTCCATGGGGCTTCAACTAATGTCCTCATACTAGGGCCTTCCACCTATGCTCTCTCACTAGGGTTCCTACTCATGTTGACACACTTGTGGGGCTGACCCATGTGCAGCCCTTCAAGTTGTCCCTTCAACCCTACTCTGCATGCCCCTGGTGCAGCCCTTCAGGGTGCCTCCGCACTCCTACTCTACACTCATCATGCACAGCCCATCAGGCCACCACTTCACACCCTACTCTGTGCAGGCCTCTGTACATACTCCTTCACTGTGGCCACTCTGTTGCCCCCTCTCATTGGGGTCACCAGGATCTTACACACCATGGGGCTCACGTGCCTCTCTCTAGGTGTGCCTGGCCCCTGTGCCTAGCCCTACAATGGGGTTACCCACCATGATGTGGGAGCTGGGGCATTTAAGGTGCCTCTTACTCATCTTTCATTGAGGAGGCAACTGGCCTGGCATTTCCTGGGGACCACCCTGCCACAGGCAGACCCACCAGACCACCCTATCCCAGCAGGGTGTAGTTTTTTGGTCATGCCCCAGGACCAGGAGCCTCCTGCCAATCCCCATAGCTCCTGCCCTTACCTCCAAGATGTTGTGATCAGCAGCTCTAGCTGGGTGGTGTTCTCTCCATGGCTGCATCCAGCAAACTGCTGGCTCCCTTGAGGGGCTAAATTAAAATGGAGGTCGCTCAGCCCCCTCCTCCTATCACAATGCCTTTCTGAAATCATATGGCCACCTCATTAGGGCTGGCCCACATATGCCAGCTGCACTGCTACTGGTTCTCAGACCTTAAAGTGGCAGGCACCAAAGGTGCCCTGCCACACTGGGATTTGACAGATGCCCAAGCTGAGGTCAGTGCTGCCTCAGCTGACCAAATGGGCTAGCACCATGGCCATTCAAGGGATTCATGGCCAACTAGGCCATCATTCCCCTTGTAAGGCCACCAGGAGAGACGGAGCTAACCAATACTGAGATAGAAGTGGTGCTGACTAATTTGCTGTATTGTCAAGGCATCTCAACCCTGCCTTGCCTCCCATGGCAACAGGTTTCTGATCCAGGTTTATCTATGTCCTGCTGCACTGTTTCCTCTTTCCTGTCATTTCCAGT